ATCCTTCCATCATCTTCCCTCCTTTTCTTTCCCACCTTTCCCCATCTTCCCATTTCTCCTCCACATTTCTTTTTTTCCTGAGAATAACTTAAAGACATTCATATTTTTCAGAAATGAATTTACTAAAAAGTAGGGTTTTTCTTATATAACCTCTGTTTAACAAAATCTAAAAATAAACTGTTCTGTAACTTTTCCTGGGGAGTTACAAACAAATGTCTATTCTTCTTAAAGAGGGAATGACAAACCAAAGCACTGATTCTATTGAAAGTCTATCTTGGGGAACCGATTAATTTGGGGACAATACTTGAATAATGGGTTACTTACAAGAACACAAGAAACCCAGGCAGCTGTGTCACCCAAACACCCGCTCCCTGCATGGGTCATGACTCACAGACCTGTATGGGTGGCACTCCCTGTCCCAGCTTGCAAGCAGTTGCTTTACTGAACAGTCTTGGCTCCACAACTGTTTACTGTTTATATAACTTTGGAGATGGGCATCTTGTCAATCCGGTAAGTTTTGTGAGCTTCCCGAGCCTTGAAAAGAGGTGTTCTCTGAACCTTGGAGGAGATGATGTGGATGTCTGCTTGTTTTCTTCCACTTATGGAAGCATTGAACTACTATGTCACAGTAACAGCCACTTATTCTCAGCAGCTTAACAGGTTATGAGTCTCTGAAGTACCCACTGCCTTTTGCAAAGAAAAGGGAAGCGTCTCCCCATAACTGAGGCTGACAGCAACAGTGATCGATGGGCATTTAGAGGGCAATTGGAAACCTGTCTCCCTGGGTCTGACAGGCCCCAGGCCAAAGCACCCATTGCTTCTTTGTCAGCCACACCTGGTTGCTGAAAGATTCCAGCATGAGGGAACAATTTTCACATCCAGTATACCTACGTGCAAGGTGAAATATGTGGCCTATGCCTCATGAGTGTGACTCACATGCCTGATTGGTCAGAGCCCCTCCAACCTTAAATTGTGTCCTACTATGGGTATTTGTAGGACCACTACAGCTCCAAACTAGTCTTGAGGTCCCTACTGAATTAACTTCTTTTTTAAAAACTTTTCTATGAACACAAAAGCTGGGCATGGAACAGAACCTGCCACCTAATTCCTTCAGGAACAAAACCTGTCACCTAATTCCTTCAGTAACATGTGTCCATCCTCTCTCATCTCACCATTTTTGATATTCAAGAGGACTTCACTGAGTGACAGTCAGGTATCCCAAATGGCCGGTATGAATCTGTCCATCAGGGACCCTTGTATCACCTGGTATGAAGCCTTTGTCTGGAGGAGAGATGAGCAGTTGCATTTCTCGGCTTTTCTCCTTGGACAGCACTCAGAATGATCCTGTCTGCTGCCATGTCTGTCAGCTGCATAAACAGAGTTGCGAGGACTCTTCCATTGCTTGTTTAAAATGCTCGACCAATTCCAGCCTTCTGAGATACTGTTCTCTGATTATGACAGCATCCATTATTAAAGCCCCCATCTGCACACAGAGTCAAGGATTTCCCTTTCTCTGTATCGAAGGTCAGGCTGAAATAGTATCCTCTTTGATCTCACTCTCTTTCTCCTTGCTGTCTGATTCTTTCCATGGATTCCATGTGTTGGGATCGTAGGAAGAGCTTGTTAGCAAGATCTAACCTGTACTCTCTCTAGTGTCCCATTGGCTGTAATAAACGGCAGGCAAACACCTAGTCTCCTCCTAGCCTTTTACACTTCCATGCTGGTGCTGAGGAGAGCATCTATGTACCTTTCTCCCATTGTACCCCTGTTACCAGCTTCACATGGGCCAAGTTCTTCCCAGTCAGAAAGTTCAGCTTCAGGAATATGTCTTACCACCCACAGACACTTCCACAGCCCTTTTCTGAACCCTTTTTAGTATGAGTCACTTTTAGGTATTGAAGTGTCTTCTCTAGCAGGTATCTGGGTGCATCTTCCAACCCATGCTAGACTCCAGATGAGCCACTCCTGCCACCTGGAGGAAGACAGCCACCCTGTGATTTCCCCCAAGGGCCCTCAGCCCTCAGATGACTTAGCATCAGTTGCATGTTGTGTCAATCCACACAACATCCACGGCAGCAAGGAGCCACAGCATCCCATCCTAAATGGGGGAAAGGTGGTTACATTGGGACTGCTCCTGTGGATAACCCACCTTCAGATATACCAGTCTCAGCTGCATGTCTTACTGCCCATAGCAGGAGCCATTCAATAGCTTCCTTCAACATTATCTATGACTCTGTCAAGTAGTCTCTGGGTGGCAATTGTGTTATGTGACTTTCCCTGTGGAGACATGAGTAAACATATATTCATCACAGAAAGGGTACTGATGACAGAGCAAAGAAAAGATTCTACTTAACTCTAGTTTGGTGAAACCATGTGGTTACTTTGTAGGAGCATGGGTTAAAGGTTAGTTACAGGGACACGGGTGACTCAGATGGCTGTGTCACCAAAGAACCCACCCCAGCAGTATGAGCAATGACTCATGAAAATTATGGCTGTACCCCTCCAAACTTGCAGGCAGCTGCTCCAGCAAAGCGTCTCCTCGATCACTACAGCTACTTCCTGGTTATGTAACCATGGGGAAGGGTCCTGGGAATCTTCTGAGTTGTTTAGTGAGCCTCCCTCCAGGTGGGAGATGCACTGTTTCAATCAGAAGGAAATAGCTACATAGCATAAACATTGACACCACGCTACACTGCTTGTACAAACCTTCCTCAAATTTAAACCCGAGCTTCACTGATGCTTTTTCTAGTGAAATGAAGGCTTTTCCTGGCCCATTATCTGAATTACAACTATATACTGTTCTTAGGTGTCATGTATTCTTATCTTTCTGTCCCCATTCCAAGTCTGTTTTTTCTTTCTGCTTCCCTTTTATGATCTTGATATTTGTGAGCAATCTAGGTTACATATCTTACAGCGTTTACTTCACTATGAATTTCTTGACTTTCCCAATGCTAGGATTAAGGTCACGTGTTTTGGCAGGAATACCATAGAAGTAATGCTGTGGTTTTTCTCAGATCATTGTAACAAGGGGTCCATGTTACAACCCAATGTCCCATTACTGGAAATGCTGATTTTGATCATTTGGTTAAAATAACACCTGCCAGTTTTATATACTGAAAAGTTATTATTGCTTTTATAAGTACTATGTGGGAGTCACACTGTGGCATTCTCAGGCAACCATGTCCTGGGAAGCTGTGATTGACATGACCTTTTTCCTTTGTCTCCAGAGTCTAACAGCCGCAGGGCAGTGAACCGGGGCTATGTCACCAGCTTGCTGAGGCTGCATCAGGACTGGCACAGCCATGATGTGACCAACACCTATGTACTGATCCGCCATGGGCTCCTGCTCTGTCTCAGGCACATTGTGACTCTCCGGTCTGGCAGGGAGGCCTTCCTGGCAGCCCAAGGCATGGAGACTCTCTTCAACATCGCACAGGTAGCCATCATGGGGATTTCCTAAGCAGGTGGATAGCTTCGAGGGTGGTTATTGAAGGCTGAAGTTTGGAGATTGTCCTGAACAGAGCAGGGAAAACTGAAACAACTACAACATGGTGCTTGTTTCAATTTGGCAGGTGCTCTGAATTCAAATCCCTATTCACTCACTCATTCATCTTTTCATTCAATAATTCAATCAGTATGTGTTCATTCAACCATTATGTATTTATTGTTAGTACACTACCACAGATGACAAATAGCATAGAGAGTAAGAGTATGGGTTTCAGAACCAGAGACCCCAGCCTAAAGCTGTGGAACTTTGAAGGTATCATCTCCCTTTTCAAACAATCAACTTGCCTTGTTTTGAAGAAACATAGCTGGACATGGTGTCAATACCCTTAATCCCAGCACTCAGGAGGCAGATCTCTGAGTTTGCAGTCAGACCTGTCTACAGAGTGAGTTCTAGGATAGTCAGGGCTACACAGAGAAACCCTGTCCCGAAAAACAAAAACAACAACCAAAGAAATAAGAGAAACATGCATATATACATCAAAGAAGTAGAATTAAAACATTTAGATTCTTTTGTGTATTAAGTTCACGTGTTCAGGAAAGTACATATTGTATTTTAATAGTTTATTTTCTTCTTTTGAGTGTGAGGAGTCACTGGACTAAATAGTACTGGTGAATATGGCAAAGGAGACTTCTGATCTTATGGGATGCATATCCTAACATGAGGCTGGCATCAAATAAACAAAACATCCAATGAGAAGGATTTTGCAGTGGTCTGTGAGACCAGGCAAACGAGACAGACTCCTATAGGTGGAGGAAGAAGACCATTTAGAGATGTTAATTTTTTTCTAAGTAGGTGACACTCAAACCTAAATTACTGGACAGCTCTTCAAACCAGGCGTAAGCAGGAGAGTGGTCCAGGTAAAGGGAATAGCATCTACGCTGGCTGGCACTTAGCTGCACCAGGTGGGGTGTGTGGTCCAAGGTTATTTGGGTTTCAACCCAAGTCACACATAGCTACACTTGACTAGGGCTGATTTCAATACCATGCCAGCTGGTGATACAAATATCCCAAATATCCATCTCTGCTCACTCGCATATGCCTCATGTTCCCTGTTGTTTTCCTAGTTGTCAGTCTCTGGTGCTCAATGCTCCTCTCTGGAATGCTTCCCAATTTACTATACCTGAGTACACATAGAGGTAATGAAGCAGCCAATGAGAGTGCTGTTCTCCCACCATAGCGTTGCTTGACTTTTCCTATTCATTTAAAAAAATAGCATTCCTCCTCTAAACATTTGCATGCTGCAAACCAATATCTAATTTTCTGTCTGCTGTCACCTCTGGGTTTTTCTCTGTCATTACTGAGTTTGGAGCTTCTCAGTCATGAAATAGCTGCATTTTGCACTCTGCTTTTCTGGATCAAGCAGTGTTTTCAATTTTTCCAAGCTTTCTTGTACTCTGTAGGCTCACAATCCTCTAAGTCTCTAATCTCACTCAATCCCTGTAAATTTCCCCCATTGGCTGTTGATACCAGGTGCTCCCATTCTGGCTGGCATGCTTGGTGCTTTCTGTCCTCCATATTATTGACTGTTTTTCTTTGCTGTACTAAAAATATCTGAAAGGAGAGTAGAGGAAGAAGATGGTGACTTTACAGTTGTATATCGCAGAGAGGGACACAGTGAAATGTATCACACCAAATGAAGCCCAGGCATGTGAGGGGCTGCAGACATGTATACAGGCCCTTAGAGGGAGTTCCTTAACAGGTCAGTAATGTCATTGACCCTTCTAGTAAGCTTCCAGCCTCCAGTTACTATTGAAAGAGGAGGCCAAATGTGAATGAGGGCACAATCTACATTTTATAGTGAGGTTGACCCAGCTCATGCTGCAATCTCTGAATGGCATTGTGTGCAAAAGTAGCCCAGGAAGGATCCTGAAACAATGCTGAATAAATTGGCCATGATGCACTAAGCCTGTCACATGGATCCGTGCACAATTTGTGGGCAAAACTCTGAGGTGATGGATTCCCCACATTTGCTAATGTCTTCACTTGGCTTTCAGCCTTTTAAAGAACATTTTCTTCGATAGGGAATTTTTACCAATTTTTTTAACATTTATTTATTTTATGTATATGTGTACTCTATATGCATGTACACCTTTATACCAGAAGGGGGCAAGAGATCCCATTATAGATAGCTGTGAGCCACCATATGGTTGCTAGGAATTGAACTCAGGATCTCTGAAAGAGCAGCCGGTACTTTTAGACACTGAGCCATCTCTTCAGCCACCCAAGTTCACTTATTAACCTAAAGATGTCTTCTGACATTGCCCTCCTGCCTACCACCTGGTTCTTTAACAAGAGACATCGTGATGAGCAAACCTAGTAATTTTTATTTCCTGGGAATCAATAATCAATTTTTAAATTTATAAACATTTCCCTCTGAATAGAAGAAGGCACCCAATATGACATTGTCGATTAATGCCCTGGTCTCCATACATTTTAACAACCCTGCCTGATACCCTTCTTTCAGCTCATGGCATGTTCCACACTTTTGGGATGCACGAGCTTGCTTCTCCTTTTCAGTTCTCATCAGGACCATCTCACACAAAGAAAAAAAGCAGTTACCATCAATCACCATCAGTGATGGTGTCACTGGTGATTACCTACAGAGACAGGTTCCAAAATGTTGGCATCTTTGACATTCTTGGCTTGGTCTTAGTTCTGTTTTCCCTGAGGCTGAAGCCCAGAGCATTATCTCCAACCTGCATCTACTTTACCTTTCTTCTTCCTCTTCTGCACTCCATTTTCTTTTTCCAATACTAATAACTTTACAACAAATACTTGAGACCATTTGACCAGGCCAAAGAGCTGAACTATCTTCAACTAATTCATTTTCCACTGGGAGTGTTTCCTGCTGTGTCCACAGAGACACTTGATTGGTACCATTTGAGCGCACTAAAGGAAAAGGGGCATTCTTGATTGCATTAAGACATTGCTGTTTTGAGTTGGCTTGCTTATATTTTTAAGTCTGCTTTTGGTGTGTGCAGGGGTGGCTTGGGATTGAATGTAGGCTTTACACATTCTAGACAAGTGCTCCAACTCTAAATAGTATCCAAAGCCCTCATTGTTAATTCTTGGGCAAGTTTGTGTATGCATGCATGTTTGCATTAAGACATTGCTGTTTTGAGTTGGCTTGCTTATATTTTTAAGTCTGCTTTTGGTGTGTGCAGGGGTGGCTTGGGATTGAATGTAGGCTTTACACATTCTAGACAAGTGCTCCAACTCTAAACAGTATCCAAAGCCCTCATTGTTAATTCTTGGGCAAGTTTGTGTGTGCATGCATGCGTGCATGTGTGTGCATGTATGTGTGTGTATATATAAGCCATTGGTTGTCATCTAGTACCTTCTTAATTTCCTTTCCACCATAGTTTTTGAGACAAACTCTCTCACTGAGCCTGGGGCCCACTGACTTGGCTCAGTTGGCTGACCATCAAGGTCTCTGAGTCCTCATATCTCTATCTTTTCAGTGCTAGGATCATAGGTGTGCTCTGTTGTGCTGTCTGCTTTACTAATGTGGGCCCTGGAGGATCAATCTAAGAGCCTCATGCTTGCATGGCAAGCACTTTACTAGTGGAGTCATTTCCCCAGCTACATTTTTATTAATATTTTTCTCTCTCTACTTTCATGAGCTACCTGTAATATGGACTTAGATGTACCATGGTAGGACAGCACCATAACCCAGGCCTTGTGGTGGCTGCTCAGACCTATTATGATTCTTGGTCTCAGAGATTTCTGTATCCTTTAACACTCTCAGGTTGGAGGCTCATCATGGACATATTTCTGTGCCAAGTTCAGCACGAAACACATTTTCCAAGCTTCTGGAGAAGGTGATATGTTTTGGCCAAAGAGTTACTGAGCTACTTCTGACTCTGCCTCAATTTAGTAAAGTTGTTCTTATATTTTTCACAGTGTCTGCAAAGAAAGGTATTGTCATGTTCTATCACCATCAAAATATTACATCTGCAAATCCAAGTTTTCTTTGCTTTGAGTAGGTACCGGGCAGGATCCACACACTGGACTTTCAGACGAGCAAGTTGGCTAATTTAGGCATGTGGGATTTATTCAGGCTTTCCTTATGGTTTTGTATTTTATCCTTTTGTTTTTCATTATATCTTTCTATTCAGACATAGCAGGGAGACAAAAGCAAGACTTCCATCACTTCAACTGCTCATTGCCTAACTTAGGCAATAACTCACAGTGATTCGGGGGTGCCTGAAGGAATGTGTCACCCCTCTTTCCTCAGGCATCCTAGATAAGGACTTTCCTCAGGTACAACCTCCCTTGAAATAAGTTCAAGTCTACGCCCAGACTAAATTCATCCCAATGCCATCTGAGCAGCAAAATAGAAATAATGATACAGACTCTGAGCAGATATTATTCTGCATCGGAATGTTCAAACAACTAAACATTATACAGTAAGATTGTTTTCTGTCCACTTAGACTGCACATTTCATTATCTGAAATAATGTCTCCGCATGGGGGCTGTACACAGGGTCTGTTGTAACATTCTCTCTGCACAGACCTGCCTGGACAACAAGAGCATGGAACCTGTGATCTCTGTGGTGCTTCAGATCCTCAGGCAATGCTACCCTGAGAGTCCACTTCCTCTGGTCACAGCCGGTAGTGCCTACACCTTCCCAGCTCCTGGGAGCACCAGCTCAGAGCTTCCACAAGCTCTCACTGAAGGTAAGGTAGCAGGCAGTTTTCAGAGGAGTGTTTGCATTTTACATGTCAGAGGGATGGGAAATAAAGCAGAAGCTGTTGTACAGGTCAACCATGATCTTCTAATAAGCTCATTAGAGACATGTATGAAGGAGTAGACTTTTTCATAAGCAGGGAGAACAAGCGTCCTGCTCACTCACAGTGTCCCTAATTATTAGCTGTCACTGCTTTGCCTGGTGGCTACCGAATGCCTGCACAGGCATCTCATCTAATTAAGAAAACAACCTTTTCACAATTTTGTGACCCAGTCTCTTTACTGCACTGTCCATTGGTGGAATTAATTTGTCATTTGGCCAAACTGCAATAAAACTTTCACCATGTAAAACAGCATGATATATGTTTTAGAATATCAGAAAGTGTGGATGATTCAACCTCCAGGAAGATCTTAAGGTCAAAGACCTGACCTTCCTTCTGGGGAGCAGATTTCCCACAGTTGGGATTTTTGTCACATGGCAACAGATACTTTCTAACCTTTCTAAACTTAGTGTATAATTCTGGAACGAATTCTTCCAGAATTAGGGACATGTTCAAGTCACTATCTAAATTACATCTTTCTAACCTTTCTAAACTTAGTGTATAATTCTGGAACGAATTCTTCCATTTTAAAATTAGGGACATGTTCAAGTCACTATCTAAATTACAATGAGTTTAGTTTACATACAGTCTATAAACTTTAAGACAGTATTATTTGGGTGGGAGGATAACTGTAGTGACATTTTTACATCATTTCTGTCCAAATTCATTTTGCATTTTACACGGCATCCTGCTCCCATGTGCTCGTGGACAGAGCATGTATAGAAATCAGTGAGCATCTGTGTGTGCAGGGATACAGTACACTTGCTTTGTAATGAGTCCCTTATTTGCAAGAAAAGCAAGCCACTGTGCACAAGAGAGTAAATATCAGACAATGAGCACACTCATTCTTTGATCTCCTTCTTCCACTCAGAAGATGTTGAAGATGATGGCGAGGAGGAGATGGACAAAGACTCAGATGTGGAGGCTGTGAAAGAAGTAGGTGAACCAGTTCCTGCTTGGCATAATAGCCATACTGACACTATGCAAAAGAAAATGTATCACTTCCTGTGTTTACTGAGTTCACCCCAGCATTGCCACTCCAATGATAGTGATGTCTACAAGGCACAGATACTGCTGTTGGTTTTGCAGATGCCATTTTCCTCTTGCTATGTCTAGTACCTAGCCTCTTTGTAGAAACAGGTCTATTGATTATGATCTAATATTCTATCAGGATGAGCCTGACAGACTCACGCTTAGGGCTGGTGTATTGAATAAGTGCATGGAAATGTTTTAGGAAACATTCTGCTAGACCTCACCTGTCTTCATCAATCAGTTTTCTCATCCCCTGTCCATTCTGCACAGGGATGTGGGGCTGTGCATCCCCATTCCCACCTGTTGAATTAGCCTTCCATGCCTTGCAATGTGTGCAGCTCATTTCCCAAAGAAATGAAGCTCCTTGTTCCATACCACACAATGGTCCATAAAGGGAGGTCAGTAATATTTTTTTTTTATCAAAGTTCACATAGTAATTATTTGATACTCTTTGAACTACATGTTCTTTGTTTCAATGACTCAACTTGCCATTATAACACAAAAACTGGCATCCGCAATATTGGAATGAAAAGGTATGGCTGTTTTTCATTTTGAAGAACATATTTCATTGACTGCTTTTTTGTGGGATAGGTGTTTTAAACTTTGTCATTGTTTAAATATTGACTGGATATTTCTTATTGTATTGTGGGATGCTTCACAGCATTCCTGTTCTCCACTCACTAGTCCCCTATAGCATGCATCACTTTCCCACTCACTCGAGAACCAAAAATATCTCTAGGAACTGCCAAATCACTCCTAATTGACAGCCATTCTCCTTGAAAAATGATAGTTCATCTATGAGTTATAATTCTGTCTCCACTTCTGCTGTATGTAGTTTTGGATAAGTTTCTCCATTTATAGTTCCTTTATTTTGTCATCTGTAGCGTAAGATCCAAAAGACAGTCCTTAAGGTGACGTTCAAATTTAAAAACTATTCTGTACCAGTAAGATTGCTCAGCGGCTAAAGGCAACTGCTACAAAGCCTAATGTTCTGAGTTCAGTCCCCAGAACCCACATGGCAGAAGGAAAGAACCATCTTCCCCAGGTTGTCCTCTGACCTCTGTGCGCACACACATTCAGATGCGTGCACACATGCATGCATGTATATACACACACACGGGCATAATCACACATAAATGCGTCCTACACATGTACCCACAGACAGGCAGCCCCCATTCCTCCCACATGCAGACACACACCCCACACACCACCACACACACACCCAACACCCCCCCCCACACACACACACACACACACACACACCCCACATACCACAATTTAAAATGTTATACAAAAATATAAGAAGGAAGTCCCTCCCTCTCTCCTTCTCTCCTTTTCCCCTTTCCTCTTCCTTACTTCTCTTCTCCCTTCCTCTGTCCCCTTCTGTCCTTTCCTAGAGAGAAAGGGGTTTTGAGTTCTCAATCTGAGCACTCTCCTTGCTGATGGTACTGGCAGACATCTAGGGGCTATCTCTCAGTCCCATCTCTGGGCTTAGACTGCTATTGACAGTCTGATGTTCCCAAGGTTTTGTTGATAAATAGAATCATTTCTGAAGTCATCAGTAGCAAATTGGTTCTTTGCTGTGGTTCAGCCACGCAGGCCTACAGAGTACGTGCAGAATCATTTGAATAATACTGGGCTGCTGCAGTCATTCATCAATGCCACCTTCCACTCCCCTCTTGCCTGCACTCTGATAACTGGATGTCTGATGCTCTGTCAGTTGCCTCTTGTATCTGATGCAGGGGGACACAGCACATGACAGTGCCTGACTCCACACAGCTAGCTACAGCAGGAGGGAGTCCTGATACTTTCCCCTGACTCTACTCTGGAGAGGATGGTAGGCTAGGATGAGTGGAAACTAAACAAATATAAAAATCCCGCTGGGAAAGAAGCAGAAGATAAATTGATGAGGGTCTGGAAACTATTCATCAAAGCCTATGGCTGAGGAGATGATGAGAATCGGATGTGAATAGAAGCTGTAGAGCAATGGTGGAGCATAGGAATGAGGCTTGACTCTGGAGTACAGCAAGCCTAGGAGAACTGGCCCTCCAGTGGCTAGCTTTTCCTAGGTGAATACAGTAACATTTGCTGCCATTGACATGGACAAGCAACCAGGCCTGTTTTGTTTTCCACTCACAGAGTTGACCTGGGCCTTTAGTCTGTAGCATTCTCATTTGAAAATTGCAGATAAATGTGAACTATATCTGAGTAAAACTATTAACATGAAAATCCTGTGAGTCGAAGGTCAGAGGAGTAGAAAGCTCTAACCTGATTAGACGCTGTCGTGGTCAGCACAGGAAGGAGAAACGGCACATGGAGATGGGGTGTTGGCTGTGTGTGCTCTTCCTGCATGCAGTAGATGTGAGCCAATGGTGGGGAGAGCGAGTACACTGTACTCAGGGTCTCCTTTCCCCACTTTACTTGTCTTCCCTTTTGAATTTCTTTTCTTTCTTTTAGCTGCTTTCTTGGGTATGATCCATAAGTAGCAGGAAAAGTTCTGGGGCTTGGTTGGATGATAAACACAAATGAGATGTGGACTTTTACTGCCAGAGTTCACACTGTCATGAACTTGGGAGTTGTCTTCACTGAAGACCAAATTACCACTTACAATTTGAACAAACAAGTGTGAAGGCAGGGCAGAAACCGGGTTCAAGAGACCCAATTTAAGGCGGGAGGCTCAGAAAATATCATCTAGAACAAGGAGCTATCAGTATCCTAGATAATATGAGGACACAATAGCAGGTCCATCCTTAGAGGAGTATGAATAGCCTTACAAGATCTGCTGAGGGTTCCTGGAGATGTAACAGTTAAGCTACAGGGGACTTGTGTGTTCCTGTATACACACAGACATGTACATGCACAGACAAAGCTTGTAGAGACAAGAGTAGTGGGCATGGGAGCCTACCCAAATGATGCCCGAATGTATCATTAAGCTAAACTCGGGGATTCTCTTTTCTTTTGATTTGAGTTTGTTGGAAAATTATGTAAGATGAATGGAACATTTCATTTTCTTCTTTTCCACTGGCTCAGAAATAGAGGCATCTATTTCCCACATTTCTTTGATTTAGGTCTTCAGGGCTGCAGGTTTTCCTTAGCTTTCCAAATGTTTCTGTGTGGCAGGTATTTGTTCTCTATTTTAGTAAGGATATTTGATCTAGGATATGGAAAGGCAGAGAGCTTAGACATTATCATTCTTGGTGTATTTTATTCATAAGGCTCCATAACCCTTGGAAAGCACAGATGTGCTCAAAGTAGAGTCAGTATCACCATGAAGCTATTACAGGATGCTGGTCTAGAAGAAAAGCATAATTGCTCCTGTGATTTGCTCCATGAAGAGAAAACTAGGAGTGCTTGTGAACTTTTAACTCCACATACAGACACAGGCACAGCAGAATAGACTGTTCTCCAGAAACTGCTCACATAGGCCGTGCTCCTCTCCTGCCTCTCCTCACATCTCATGTCCAGGCACAGCAGAATAGACTGTTCTCCAGAAACTGCTCACATAGGCCGTGTTCCTCTGCTGCCTCTTCTCACATCTCATGTGCTGGGATCTTCCTCTTATCCATGCTTCCAGCATCTTCTTTCTGTAAGCAAATTCAAGCAGCACCTTTGGAAAGAATTGTCTTAATATGCTGATCTTTGTGTCTGCTAGGTCTCAGTACACCACGGTGACTTCCTTTGTGAACCTTCTCAGGTCACTCAGTCCAAACAGCTAGCCACAATCCAGTCTGTTTTTCCCCCAAATTCTTTGGAAGTTCCACATCATACACCCCATCACAATCACTAACCAGTCCTTCCATGTCTGCCCTCTCTGCCTTGTGCCCCCCTCAACAAAACAACCACAACAAATAAACAAAACAGAAACAAAAAGTCTAATTTGTGTTATCTGTATTCCTACTGGATCTTGGTCAAACTCTCAGTGGCCTGTCCCTTAGATAGAACTGAGTCTTCCTTCTTGCACTCCTGCCTGAAGGAAGACATCTATTGTGGAGAGCTACACTTCTATATCCTTATCACACATTTTAAGAGTTCACTTTGATGGCTTCCTGCTTAGGCTGTTACCTTTTGGGGCTTGGGTTGGGTTTGGGGCAGGGTAGGGGTTGTCACAGAAGTCTTCCATGTCCCTCTTTCTCAACTGTGCATCTGTAGTCATCGATATCACTGCCCAAGTAGCTTCCTTGCTCTTCACAGTCAGTGGGAGTATGGATCATGGACTCTCACATGGTTTCTGGTGACAGCACAGAAACATGGCACTGGTTGTAATAGGACCACAGACCTAGACAAGTTCCTCAGGGCCAGCCCAGACCATAGACATCAACATGACCTCAGGCTGCAGCATAGACCACAGACAACCACTTGGCCTTGGATGGTAACAGGGGCTACAGACATCAAATCAGACCTTCTCTGCAGTAGGACCACAGTCTCCAACCTGCTCCTCAGAGACAACACAGGCCCCAACATTGCCATGGCCTCAGATTGCAGCAGCTCAGACCACTCAAATCAGTATGGCTTCCTGTGGCTACATGGTCCATAAACTTCAAATGGCTCCAGGTGTCAGAACATTCCATGGACATTTGAATGGTCCTCAGTGATAATACAGGCCATGGATGTCAACACAGACTCCAGCTGTAGTAGGGCCTTAGACCCAGTTACTCCAGTCTTAATGCCAATCTTGTCTTCATTCTTCAGCATTTTCAGGACATTTCACACAGTTAGAAATGACGGTGTTCCATTTACTTTCTTTCTGTCTCAGTTGTCTTACTAGAAGACAAGTCCCACAGGACCATGGACCTTTGTTTCATCACCACTGACTCCTTAGTATCTAGGAAGGCACTTACTCTTAGAAAGTGCTCCTTAAATGTTTTTGCAGGTGAAACACCCAAACGGCAAAGGTAGCCAGGTGAAAAAGTTAACAACAGAAACGATACTATTTATGAACAACACAAAGAATTCCTTGTAGCATGTTTTATTATTTACATAGTTTATTGCATATTTTTTCCTGATGAGGGCTAGTAAATACTGACATACATGCTGAAAAGGGTTTGTGACCTCATTCTTTTATGTTTAAAAATATAACCTAGTATATTAAGTTCTTTCCTGACTGTGCTAGCATTATAATCTGAAGATAAAGGACACATGGCCTCATTTGGTAAAAAAGCAGATATGTATCTTATCTTGGCACCTTGCAGGGTAACTTCTTGACTGTGACCTGTTCTTTGTTCTGTAGGATGATGACTTGGAAACTGATCTGAGCAAACTGAGTTCTAAACCTGGTCTTGACCGTCCTGAGGAGGAGCTGGCACAATATGGTGCTATGTGTCCTGAGCTCTCCTTTAGCTTTGAGGTAAGCATGGGCTGTAGTCTACTTGGTGATGTATGGTGTGATCTTTGCAGAACCTGGGAAGCCAAACAGAGGTGTCCAGATGCATCACCTTGTTCATCATCACCATTGTTCCTAGATCCTTCTGAGAGAAAAGGAGAAGGGAGAAGGAAGTGAGACCAGAACATTCTCAAGTGTCCTAGGGTCTGCTACTCTAGCATAGAATTGACATTAAATTACAGACTACTAACTGTGACTTGCTATGTCACCGTAGAGCCCTGGCTCCACAGTAAGAAGCAAATGAAAATTCTGGATGGAAGGCCATCACCATAGCTGGATTGCTAAAGGTCACCATCCAGATTCCAGGCTTAGGATCAGTAAAGGCAAACAAACACCTTGGATCTGGTGGTGCTAAACTAGTGTGCAGTTGCTGCTGCTGCTGCTGCTGTTGTTGATACTGAGCCTTGGACCTGCCTTTTGATCTCTATTATTTTCTTATTGATTTTAACAAATGATGAGTCTGGCCACATCAAAAGGCAGAGAGAGACACAGATAGAGAGGAGTTGATGTATCCCATTTCACTTTAGAAAGCAGAAGATGTTCAGTGGTCAAAGTTTCAGTGAAAAAAAATTTCAGTTCAGTGTAAAGACTTAAAAAATCAGAATTGTCTTCAAATCAAAGGCACTGCCTGGGGCACATTGAAGGCTTTCCTTTGTGTATCACTGGAGCCCCTATAAATGAGGTTGTTCACTCAGACAGTAATTGGGCTGGGGGCCTTGCAAACTCTTTTTCAAACTGTATAGAATTATATTAAACCCATCCAAATCCCCTTCTAAGCATGACATTTGTGTGAGTCTGGCATTTGTTTACCCTTAAAGTTTAGGTTTTTCCATCCTTTCGTTGACCTTTGAAAAAGCCCCTAAATCACAAGGGTTACACTGGATCCAGACAGCTATGATAGGAGTCAAATTGTATTGTCTTTCTGGAAAGAAATATTAATACTGATGTTTTTCTACTTTGAATTTGAAGGAACTGGAACCCAAATATGGAGAGGATTTGAACATGAAAGATACTCCTTATGCTAATCACTATCACATTCCAAATGCCACCTCCCTAAGACAACAGCACTTGAGCAGGGAGCACAGCTCCTGGAGACAAGAAAGAGAAGACACTGTCTGCACTTCCATTCTGGACATGGTGAAGGCAGGGAAGTCCACTATACAGCGATCTTCAAAACAAAGACCTATGATGAGTGAGAACCAAAGTATGGAACAAAATGGTTTGGGGATAGATTCCTCTGGATATAATACCTCTGACACCCAGGCTTCCCTAGAAGAGGCTGCTTGGGACATAGAATCAATTTCTTGCCCAAGGATAACGTCCTCATTTTCCAATTCCACTAAGCTGGAAGAAAGCAATGAAGCTGCAGAGAAGCTTCTGCACATACATCCCAAGCACACACCTTTCCATGACCCTCATCTTTATATGGCCAATGCTATGAGAACCAGATCTACTGTGGGATTCAAGATGATGGCATTTCCTGATTTCTGGGGGCACTGTCTACCTCCCACTGCTCAGCCCATGCTGGATCGCAAATGGGGAGTACAAAGGTGAGGGTGTTACTGACTTGGAAGTTATAGATATTTTTCTCTTAAATATTTTTGTATATGGAGTGGTTGATACAGATAATATTCTAAATGTTGGAAATTGAGTATTAGCCTAGAGTACTTTAAAACCCTTTTGGAGATACATAATCTGGCCTCTAAACTGGAGCATTTATAAACCAAGTATGGGACACTGGTAGATATGTGTTTCTGGGCAAGGAGTTCCTTGGATGATTCTAACATAAACCATTGAATCATATCCATGACAAGTTATTACAGCAGGGGACGTCAGCTAGTGTCTCCACAAACTATAACCTTTCCTAAAAGGGTTCTTTTCAGAAAAACAAGTATCTGATTACTTGGGATCTTTTTGGTATTTACAACAAATCCGTTCTTGATTTCTTGTTGATAGAGAAGAGTAGCGTATTTCTATTCCATAGCCCTAGTGTTTGGAGAGTGGCTTTCTCTAACACTGAGGAAAGGATGGAAAAACACCCCACATACTCTCCAGGGCAGCAATCCTGAGTGATATATTATTCTCAGAGTTCAAGAAAGACTACATTGTCTTTGGATCAGAGCAGTGAGATTAAAATTAAATCTGATAAAAGGAAGGAAAATAGATTTCTCCTGAGGAAAAATGTGGGTATGCATATCTGAAGCCAATAGAGTCAAATGTGCAGACTAGAATCTTGTTTTAATTTAAATTTCGTGTCTTCTGCAAATTATTCTTTTGATGGTAGGGTTCAAGAACAGTTTGTACTTGAATTCTTGGCTGATCTCACCTCAACACGAATGCCATGCTTGGGCTCCTCATGCTTAAGACTTCGTGGGTGGTCTGTCTGCATCTTACTTCTGCACAGAACCTTTCTGAGTTGGCTTTGGGTTTACATCAATTTCACCACTCTCTTACCCAATGTCAACAAAATGAATTGGAAATGTGAGGAGAGATAAGAAATCCCTCTTCAATTTCTTTCCTCCCACTTATTTAAATCTCACAGATACTTTTCATCCAAATAGAAAGCTGACCTCAGCCTTATAGAACAGAAAAAGTCTAAGGAATACAAATGTACAGAATAAATATGATGTAGAAACCTTTCTGGAGCCACCCAAGCTTCAAGGATGCAAACAGTCGATATTGGTAATTTCTCTCCCAAAGCTCCCTCAGTGCAGAGGAATTTCCTATTCACATAGCCAGAAGATCTTCAGTAGCCTAGCCCAGATTCTCTTGATGACTTTCTTCAAGCTATGAATACCTTGAATAAAACCTATTACCTTCCCTTGTGTTCCAGTGTTGTCTGTACCCCTTGATCCTAAGGCTGAGGCATTGTTAAGCAGCTTTTTTTCCCCTGTGTTATTCTAATGACTTCTGAGACGGGGGTAAAAAGTGGGCACTAACACTTATATTGTTTCCAATTTCCTTTTCAAGGATCAAGATACTTGAGGATGTCCGGAGGTTCCTCCAGCCAAGTGATGTTATAAATAAAGTTGTCTTCAGTTTAGATGAGCCTTGGTAGGTGGTCTTGAACACCCATGGAATGGGAGGTATGGAGAATTCTATTAATAGGAGTTAATAATAGGTGTGTGCCTTGTTGGTAATCCACTTCTGTTCTAAAACCAGTATGGTGACTATTGTGTTTCAAACATTGTAAAAGACATCTTACCTTTAAGGAATGTTAAACTGTGTTTAAGGACAGAAATAAGATATGTTCACATATTTTCTCTTTTCTTATAGCCCTTTGCAAGGCCCTATTTCTAATTGCTTGAGATTCCACTCCAAATTTGAATCAGAAAATCTTCGAAAAGCTATCCAAGTGCGTGAGTAAGTAAGAACTGCTACAGATATGGTTCCTGTCAGCACAGGAGAGCAGGTGTTGGCCATTTCTTGCCATTATCTGTTCAGTGACCTCATATTGGTAGCTTGAACCAGCCATTGTGATAGTATCTTTACCAAGAAAATTGGCAAATGCCATCTGCAAAAGTTTTCCTCTTCCATGTTTCAAATGTTTGTCAACAGACAATGGCCATTTCTTGCCATTATCTGTTCAGTGACCTCATATTGGTAGCTTGAAACCAGCCATTGTGATAGTATCTTTACCAAGAAAATTGGCAAATGCCTTCTGCAAAAGTTTTCCTCTTCCATGTTTCAAATGTTTGTCAACAGACAACCTTTAACTAGTGTTTTACATTTCCTCCTTTTTGCCTAAATAAAAATAAAAGGTTTTAACTTGAATATAGTAAAACTATATATAACAAAGCAGTTTTCAGGTAAGAATTAATTTATAATATTCAGTCCATTTGTATTTAGCAAATTCAGAGAAAACACTGCACCATCCATCCCATCTTAGTGACTTCAAAGTTTTATACATAATTTACTTTCTATTTTAATTAAGGAAAACTGCAGCTGTGATAATGTATTCTTCAACCCCATCCAAGACCCCAGAAGGATATAATATTACTGAGTAAACAGTAAGTGCATAACAAGGGACCTCCAAAACTGTAGAAATGACAGAGATGTCTGACTTCCTGGACAGTCACCCAAAGACCACTTCAAAGACCTAAAGAATATGGCATTTAAAATTTTTCATTAACATAAGGTTTTTTCATGACAATGAGTCACAGCTGTTCCTGGCAGTACCAATTTATTTCAGAGAAAATGATGGTATCAAGAAATGCCATAGGAATTTGCTTTCAAGGTGACAAGATTAGACATTTGGGTAAGAAACTGCTTTTGCCTTGATTGCTTGACTGTATGATGGAAAAACTGAACATGCAGGACCCACAGAAAAGTGACTGCTGAAATTTGATAAAACAAGGTGGAGCTGTCATTCAGGGTTCCTGTTTCATAGAAGAGTTTGCCAGACATTCTTCAGGACATAGAGGAAAGTGACTGATGAACTTTGCCAATACAAAGCAGGAAAGTCCTTCAAATTTCCTACATCACTGAAAAGTCTGACAGATACTCTGGGCCTGTAGGCTGAAGATGGATGCCCCAACATTGCAGAGGAACTTTGTTTTGCTTTTCTTAAAACAATATTGGAGTTTGTTAGTCAATTATAAATTACACACCATTTACATTGCTTCTTATTTCTAAAGTCAAACTCAAACCATTCAGAAGGTAATAGTTACTTAAGAGTCTCCTATAGGGATTGTTTTCAGTCCAGAATCTGTCTATGTTGCTGCCATGGTTCAGTTATTTTCTCTTTAGATATGCCTTTAATCAGAGATAGAAATCCTAAATAAATCAGTTATAGTTAGAGCAGCAGAGTAAATGAGAAGAAAATAAACATCTAAAGACTACTTTTTTGAGTGAGCACTGTGGGAACAGTAAAAAAATAAGGGTCATAGAATTGCTTGTCAGGCCTGATTTACACACCCAGTGGAGTATGCTTCAGCCATTGCATGGTGAGCTCATTAAGCTTATCCTGACAGCTAAAGGATGAGAGGTAGGACTCCATCAGGTAGCTCTGCAGTACTCTCATATCTTGTAACAAGCTATATCCTTCCGTAATTATCACTAAACAATGCTGTGCTGGCTGGTTTATGTTAACTTTTACCACAAGCTGGAGTTATCTGAAAGGAAGAAACCTCAGTTGAGAGATTTCCTCCATACATTTGGACTGTAGGGCATTTTCTTAGTGATTGATGGGGAATGGCCCATTCAGTTGTGGGTGGTGCCATCCATGGGCAGGTAGTCCTGGTTCTATAAGAAAGCAGGCTGAACAAGTAATGATGAGCTAGCCAATCAACACTGCTCCTCCATGGCCTCTTCATCAGCGACTGCCTCCAGCTTTTTGCCATTTGGATTCCTGTCCTGACTACCTTCAATAATGGGACTACAATATAAATGCATAAGCCTAATGACCCCCTTCACCCCCAACTTGCTTTGGTCACTGTGTTTCATCACAGCAACAGAAATCCTAACTAAGGCAAATATCATTTATCTGGGATCAGGAATGGGAGAGTGTGCATGAATTAGACAAAAATCACCTTAGTTTTTCTTTTTTGAAGAGCAATTCCACCATTTTTCAACTTGTTTCTGACTCTACAGGTTTGAGTACGACTTGCTGGTCAATTCTGATGTGAACAGCTCCCAGCACCAGCAGTGGTTCTACTTCAAGGTGAGCGGCATGAGGGCTGCCCTCCCTTACCGCTTCAACATCATCAACTGTGAGAAACCCAACAGCCAGTTCAACTATGGTATGAGCTCTTGGGGATCCAGGGGTTTTCTCTGTATATCATGAATGGTGACACTTCTTGATTGTTTGCATTATTGTCTGAGACATTCTGCAGTCCCAGAAGGCTTGACTGGACTGATGGCATTTGCTTGCTAGTGTGGCAGGACAGTAGCCAATTGAGGGCCTAGTGCGAATACGGAAGGACAGTGAGGGATTCTCACACTTCCACAGAATGTGCGTAGTGCACATAATATGGTAGTACATTCTGAGGTGCACATTTTTAACTTTGAAGTCTGGAAGTTGCTTTCACTTATTTCTGCTTTTCATCTTCAAAATATCACAAGAGTAAATACCTTGGCCTGTGTGCTGCAAGACAGGAGAGCTGCAAAATCTACCTGAACAGTGCTTTACATACTCAGAAAACTCCGGCAATGTTTAAATACCGATCATATCTTTGGGATAGCTCACTTACTAATGTATTTGGTGGTTTTGAACGAAGAATAACTATGGGTACTACCTTTGTTTCATATTACTTCAGGCCTTGCCTCCCTACTGCCTAGAATAGACACTCATTCCTAAAGAAAGAGAAAATATGAGCTGCGATGCATTCATTTCACAAAAATGGGGGTTTCAGTGTGTGCAAGTCTGGATTCTCTCTGGGGATTTTAAGGGAGCAACCATGTTGTTTTCCTAATTCTGGAGCTATTTTCCTTGCATTCCTTGGCTTATGGCACCTCATTCTACAAAGGTTGTAACACATCTTCTTTAATATCTCTGGTCATATTGCTTCTCTTTAGTCAAACCTCTCTTTGCCTCCTCCTGATAAGGACATCTGTGGTTACATTCAAGACCCACAGGGATAATCACCTTGGCTCAATATCTAAATTTAATTATATTTGCAAAGTCTCTTTGGTGATATATAATGAACATTCAACAGTGCTGCCTTGAGGGATCAAGAACTGAGTATTTTGGGGGGGCTGTTGAGATCCAGCCTATTGCTCTACTCTTCATTTGGCATCTTTTCTTTTCTTGTGGATTTCTTTCTTTCTTTCTTTCTTTCTTTCTTTCTTTCTTTCTGCTTTTTCTCTGTTGACCTTATTCACATGATACTCACATTAGACCCCCTTTCAGTAATTTTGGAATTACTGTAAAATGGTTAGTTTCTCTTTGCACACAATTGTTAACACTTTTGAACGTTATTGCCAGGACTTAGAAGTTGTTCATACTGAAGCTATAGGTAGTGCTTCAAGCCTTAGTTCTTCAACTATTTTCACTGGACTTGATGAACAGGACGTCCCAGAGTCTGTGTCCTGTTCCGATGCACAGGTGCTTTACTTTTCATGGGTGTAGGGACGTGACTGTATGACAAATGTACATGTGCAAGCCTTCTTCCATAGCGAGATAGTTTCACATGCAAAGCAAGAGAAAAAGAGTTGCATTGTTCATGTTTATCCTCCAATCAATAGCAAGTTTCATCAATTTACTCAACAAACGTGATGAAAACTTAAATTATCTATATTCTTTGTGAAATAAATGGATTTGTTATTTAAATGTGCATTTTTCTTACATGAAAAATGAAACTCAAATACATAAATAAAGGCTAAGAAATATTAGGACAGGCAGATTTTACACAATGCCTTATTGGGTCATTGCTAGATCTCATAAAAATCAATAGGCTAATGCCTTTTTTCTCAGCCAAAGTGAGACTCATATTTCTAAGATTACAGTAGGTCCCTAACAAACCACTAGCAGATAATCTAGAGTTTAGGACAATTATTACCATCTAGGAGAACGAAGATATATACACCTAATGTCTCCCTGCTCTGAGGCTCCGGGAATGGTACTGACAGCAAAGGTCAGGGGCCCTGCTGTTCTGTTTGGATAAAAGAAGAAATCACTATAGAGACAACACCAGCACACAAAGCACAGAGCTGAGTTGATGAACAGTCTGCAATAAGGGAGTTGGCAACTTTAGTCTTTGATGAATTAAGATATGGTTCCAAGCAGCATTTTCATATATTCTTTAGAAGGATAGCAAAATATTGCAGCTCTGTTGGTTTTCCATTCACTTAAATGGCAATTACTTCCTGGCCCACTTATCTTAGGACCCCTAGGACTCATTTTATGGTACAGTGAGATTTAGGTTAAAAATCACCTCAGGATTGTAAAGTTCACAATTGCCGGGAACAAAAGGAATCTAATTTTTATTGTGTCAGAAGTATCTTTGAATTTCCTTCGAAAACAGTTAGTGTCAATAGATGTAAAGGACTTAATATAAAACTTTTGAGGGTCTGGGATATGAGGATTGCTCAAACATGAGGTTTTGCATTTTTAAATCAATGGAATAGAGCTCTCCAGTGGAATGCTCTTCTTGGAACTGGGGAGTAAGAATAAAGTTCAAGGAGAGCAGGTGTCTCTTTGGAGGGGAAAGATGAAGACATATATCCAAAAGCACAGCCCTGGCCTAAGGGAAGCCAATGTTAATAGCTTTTAGATTCATTAACAAGACAATTGTTATGTGATTAAGGAGTAACAGAGGGGTAAGATGAAAACCATGCATGTATAATGTAATTCATTTTTCATATTCTAGCTGTGAATATAACAAAGATGAATGGATAAGGCTGCTACATTGTGATGCAGTTTGTTTTACAATTATTCACCACGGTATGTTAACACTCTTCCAATAATACAATGTAACAACAGGCTAGATATGTGTAATCTCTATTCACCCACAGATTACAAACACCTCTGTCTATTATGAAATATATTTACTGTACAACATCTTCTACCCAGTTTCCCATCACTATCTGTGAATTGATCTGTGGTAGAGAATTTCTTTGTTTCATTCCTGCATTTATTTTCGCTGGTGTGTTAGTCTCCAGAGAGTTAGGGAGAGCCTACCTCTTTGTTTCCTAGTCTTCTCTATGTTAGTAGAAACTCAGATGCTCTGTTGTCATTGTGGTCTTAAATTCCCAGTTAGTGTTGTGTTTTAAGGGAAGTTAGGATGCTCAACGTAATGAGAAATGTCAGTGTGGTATCTGGGTAGTTAAATGCCAAGTGTGAAAAGAAAAGAATACTTGGAAGAAATGAAGCCTCCATTTTCTTTGAAAGCTGACAGCAATAATAAGCAGTTTCAAAGGTTTATTGGCTGACTTGTGTTATCAATTTTTATCAATTGCAAGTAGCTTCAAAATTATTTTGATAGTGCACCACTAGCAGTATGACATAATTATACAAGTACTAGTTAGCCAATATTTGTTCATAAATTACTTTAAAGGTTTCACCTAATGGTGCTGTTGCATACATTGACAAGCACAGAAGTGCTAAAATGATGGGGAAAAGATGAAACCAATAAAGTTTTGCTCCATTTTTATTCTATTGGTAGTTCAGGATACACTATACTTCTGCAATCGGGTTCACTTTTGAGACTATAGTTATAGTTGGCTGATAGCCCGTGACTGAAATCCCAGAGCTATAGAGGCTAATACAAGAGGATTCTCATTAATTCCAGGCCAGTCTAGATTATATAGTGGGACCCTGTCTGAAAAAGAAAAAAAACAATTAAACAAAACTCTCCTCTGTGTGTGTGTGTTTGTAAAAATCACACTTTTGAATAATTTTGAACAAACAGGGTAGTTTTCGATGTATAAGTAGATCACTTTTATGCATAGCACTCTAGAGAAAGCTAGGACTGAAGGTCTGAGGCTCATTCATAAACATCTTTCTCTTCTCCTGTTATGTGTGTTTGTGATTTCATGATGTCATCAATTGGTGGTTTCGAAATAGAACATTACAAAACAATTGTCTGTCCTGAGAGGCTTAGTTTAGATAAGCTAATCTACAGATCCATCAAAAAATGTGCTTCTGGATACTTAAATACTTTGCCAGAAGCTAAAAGCAGAAGACAGAGGGAGGGCCAAGTCATTCCTGCTTCCCTCTGTCCTGAGAGGCTTAGTTTAGATAAGCTAATCTACAGATCCATCAAACAATGTGCTTCTGGATACTTAAATACTTTGCCAGAAGCTAAAAGCAAAAGACAGAGGGAGGGCCAAGTCATTCCTGCTTCCCTCTCAGCAGAATCCTTGCTGGAGCCATTGATGATGCGTTCCATGTCACAAAAAAAGCCAATGCAGGATTTAGTGTGTTCTTTGTAATCTCTCCCAGGAATGAAACAGTGGACAGGGTTTGATTTCAATGCCCCCAAATCAAGCTTGTTTTGTAATTATTCATCGTAGATGGTTGAAACAGACTTCAGAGACCAGTCAGGTTAATCCCCCTATTAAACATCAGGGATTTTAATTTCTTTTTTATCACCTAGTTAAATAATACATTCTTGGAGAAATTTTAATACTGTCTTTGTGTGCACCATTCAGTCACTTCCCCTGCTGTTGTTTCTATTCTGCCTCCATATCCTACCTACTTCCAAGACCACCCTACCTTGGGGGAAAATGACTCTCGAGATGGAAGAACAAAATGGGTGGACTCATTTTTTCTGTGCCTCTCATAAAGTAAGCAAGGGCACATTGGTTTGTTTTATTTACTTCCCAGTGGCTTGCTTCTCCATCGGACTTGTGGCTTTCACACCTTTCCCAATCCTCTCCCAGCTCTGGTCTAAAAAAATCTCAATGCCGAAGGGCAGAGGGAGGGAAGCCGCAGGCACTGAGTGGCCATGTAATACACTGCAGCTGATCTCTTCTGACATTTATCTCCGCTCATGAGAGGAGATGGAACAGCTCATTCATGAAGATGAATGCCATACAAGAGCGCTGCCATCATCCATCCTTCCGAGGAATCTCAGGAGAGAGATTTGGCGCTATATAGAATATTAGGGATGTTGCGGTTACACGGAAGCCCGGCGGCTGGACTGCTGTGCCTTATTAGATCCCATTAAGTCAAATGATGTACCCTTGTTAAATAGCCATCGTCATTGTGAGACTGCCTAATTCGAGCCTGGCTTCAGTGTTTGCTAATTTCATACACACAGAGAACAACTGAGATGACACAAAACTTCCTGTAATATTT